TCAACTGAATATCATTAATTGTTTTTGAGATTGTATAGACATCTGTATGGATATGTATGAATCGAATGAACGAGAAGAGAAAACTTATCATTGATTGATGTAACAGTGAAAGTCTGTTTGGTCTGAAGTAACTATTTATTTGATTGGAGTCCAAGTCAGTTTTGTATTGTTGCATTCAGAATCTTTACACCGAATTGTATAGTCATTGCTTCGCGTATCGATTATTATTGTAACGGAATTGCGTTTATGATGATCACCTTTTCTTGGACAATATCGAAAATTACCGGTAATATTGAAAAACAAAAGATTTCTATTGTAATCACCTGAAACGCATGAATAAATATATCCTGAATGATTAGGATCAGAGGTGATTAGTTTTTGAACAAACGCTCGATATTGATCAGGTTCTAAATTCGTGCTTGTTGAACGATTGTTGAATTTTTTGCAATGAAATTGCGATTCGTTCGATGACGATGGTCTTTTAGAGTTTGTGTTATGAGAAAAATAGGTGATGAAATGGTAATTCATAAGTTGCAACATCTCGACAATATTTTCGGATTTCAAAATGATATGAGATGAATTGTTGTGTTCCAAATGAAACTGATTGTTAATAAATGAAATTTGTGGCAAATGAAGTAAATCAGGATTATACGTGGTCAACGATTTTGTCAGTATGTCCCGATAAGCGATTTCAGATTGATTACAAAATGGATAAATAGTTGACTGATGAAGAACATTATGCTTTCCCATTTTAATACAATCGAATAATCGAAATTGTTGATTTTTTGAATAAACGCTCAAGTCGATCGCTAAAGTCCATGTATTGGTTTTATTCATCACTACAAGATGTGCAATCTGTGAAACACTTATGTGACAAATTGGTAGATAACATTGAACACATTGCGAACGTAGTGTAGCGATATGTGGAGAGATTATTTTGATCAAGTCAGATATAGAAGACTTGGGTAAGCCATCATCTATATTTACAAATGTGCATTTATGTTGAATAACAGCTAACAAGAGTAAATGAATGAAATTTTTAATGAAAACGCCGAGCATAATATTATTTTCAAATAATAATGTAGGATTTGCATGAATTACGTGGTACGATGTTTTGTCGGGCGTCGATCTACAATTTGAAAACACAACGAGTATTAAAAGAATGGTTGTTGGAATGAATTCTCAACATTAAAAAGAACGAGAACTACGAACACCTAGATCAATTTGAAGGAGTGATGATGATGGAACAGAATAGATAAGGAAAGATTTATATAGATTTTTTTTTGTCGAAACAGAAATGCATCTCGATTTTCTTATTTTGTTAATTCGTGAAGATATTCAATCTAGGTATGATAAAAGTCAGATTCGAATCTCAGCCGGTTTCATTCAATCTCTAGCCTGGATATGACGTCGAACCGTTTGAAATTTGAGTTGAAAAATATTTAAATGAGAGCAAATTCATAGACTCACGCTTCTAAGACAAGAAATTGATTTAAAATACTTTCCAACAACCTATCATTTTGGAATGATGCATGATCAGAAAAATTTAAAATAGAATAGAATATCTCCAGACAACACATGATTCCAATATGATGATTTTGTATATCCGAGTTGTTCTCTATGCCATATTCGAAATCTATGTATGTTTTAGTCGTGCTCGTTGGAAAGATGATTTCATACAAAGCCCGTTCGTTTGCTGGAGATTTTTCATAAAGTAATATCAATTCATCTAAACTAAAATAACAGAATTGTCGATTTCCATTGTTTTTTTCAATTGCAATGGCGATATGTGTTTCATCGTTATTTGTTTTTGATAATTGTGCAGTTAAATCAGAGATACGATACACGAGTGTTTTGTGCGGAAAGAACTGCCGAAGTATTTGGTAAATCGTGTTCATGATACAATCTAGAACACAATTGGTTTTCCTTTTTTAATAAATATAATACACGAATGAATGTTTAATAGTCTGATCTGAGATTCTGCAAACTAGATTATTTAAAAAAAAAAAAACCGAAAAGGCATGGTTTGTGATGCATCGCACCTTTAATACGTGTTTTATTTTATCTGTTCAATCAGTATCACTATTTTCTGGTGTATTTTCAAATACATCAATGTATGCATAAGCAATACATCTCATCTTTGATTGATAAATTCCTATGTCGATCAATTTTTGTTCATACAAAGTCTTTAAGCCAGACAAGCAAATATCACGAACAATATTCTTTCTTTTTCGAGGTCTTGTTGATCTGTTTTGTTTCTTTTCCTGTTCGAGTCGAATGATTGTTTGCTCATCATCTTTTCGAATTTGCATAATCCATTTCCAGATATTTGGTTTGGCAATTAACCGACTAAGAACAATCATCAACCAATATGCAATTTTTTTCAAATGAAAAAGAAGACAATTAACTGCAACGAAAGGGCAAATAAAAAAAACTACCTGTTTACGTATCTATGATATCCCTCGATACTAATCAAAGAGACAACGATGTCAAAACAAGCATATCTAGCGTGAATAATTCAAAATATTACTGGTTATTTGTTCGTGGTCTATCAGTCAGAGTAGAATAATGATTCCAATTCGAGGAATTAAATCTCGCATTGACGATGTACGTTTTCTTTACATATTTGAAAAATGGAAGAAAATCAACATTGACCGATAAAAGCATATCGTATGATTCTTTGAATGCCCTATTGATTTCATTCGGTGGCAATAATGGTAATGATAAAATATTTGCCACTTGGCGTTTGATATCTTCTTTTTTCAAATCTTCGACCAAATCTATGCACATAAAATACTTCGATAAAAAAAAACGGTTTGATTTGAAACCAAACACAACAATAAAAGTCAATAACTATCGAACTCATAACAATTCAGCAAACATGAAAGAGTAGTTCTTAGTTGCAAACAAATCCATTTTCTTTTAACGATAAAGAAGTGTGCAAATGTGATTCAGGCGCATTTAGGTCTGGATGCTTTAACTCACGCATTTTTTTCAAATGTTTCATGATATTTTTCGCGAAATGGAAATGACAAAATAGTATTTTCGATTGAGGAAAAGTTATCCGGAAGGCATTGTATGCCGCCATCTCGAAATCAATTAATATAGATGAAGGAGATAGTGCGAATCCATTTGAATCTGCATATTGAACTAACGATCGAAGAAGACATACGTAAGTCGTTTCATTTTTGTCTTCCAACGCCGCAAACAATACAGGCTTCATGGAAAACTCGTTATGCACGTGTATTGTATAAGATTGACCAAATAGTTTCGGTGCAGTTTTAAACGTACCATCTGCATTCCAAATACGAGATTGAGCTATTGTTTTGAAAGGAAAACAAAGAATCAAAGATACTTTAGGTAATCCAAATCATCTGCAACTGAACAGCGTGTTCCTTCAGAAAAGATGTGAACGTTTCATTCCTCAGCACCCCTCAGATCTTAGTCAAGGATAATTATTCATTAGGAGAATATCATTTTTTTGACACATACCGAGTTCTTTTAAAGCACTCAACGAACAAAAAGCCAATATTCGTGTCGGTATTCTCTGATCACAGAACAGCATCATTTCGTCATATAGATTTTTCATGAAGTAATCCGGCACAATGAGATCTCGAATACATCTTGGATGTTTCGGCAAAACAGTTGATCGATCTCGATACAATGTCGATCTTATTGTATCAAATATCGGTACTGATTCAGCAGTGCCATTGATGTGTCTCTAAATTGATCAAACGGAATCAAATGGCAACTCTATATTCATTTTATGTACGTATTCCGAAACAAATTCTGTGTAAATCTGAGTAACTGGCTTGCCAACATCATTCCGAACCTCTTGTCTCATATGTTTGAAAGCGTTCATAATAGATGCCGAACGTTTAACTTTATCATGATTGTGTTGTCCTCTTTGATTTTCAATCGTTTGATTTCTTATTGTGATGGATGATGAACAATATCGATTCGTACAAATCCATCTAATACTGCCATTCTTGTTATGTTTTTGTAATCGATAGAGATTGTCTTGGAAACGGATCACCTTCGAGCCTTTCTGACTATCAACAATCGAATACATCTTTTGATCGATAAAGCTGATTAATCAAAACAAAAAAAAACGTGAATTTCGTGAGCAATCAATCGATCTGTTTAATTCAATCAAAATATAAATACATTGAATCGGAGAAAATGTCGAAATCGTTAAATATTACAGCTCCAATCCGTCTGTATAGAATAGAAAAAGGATCAATATGAGTTGCTTTCGCTCGATCGTAGACCATAAGAACATTTGTTACTAAGAGGACTCCTTGAATGCTTATTAACATCTTTTTTAATGAACGTTATCTATTGGTTAGACAATCATTCAATTGCTGTATCGTATTGAAATAATAACAACGTGTCAAATTTTTTCTTTATTGATTCGATTTGAAATATATATTTAAAAAAAGAATCTCATGTCTGTATTGATTTCATGAACGAGCATTTATTGATATTATGTTATGAGTTGATTCAAACGATTGACAATGAAAACAATTATTCCTGTTCATTTCAGTTATCAATTGTAGAAATAGAATCATTAGCTGATGAGCTCCGATCATTGCTCGATGATTTCATGTCTGTATTTGTTGAATAGGAATCATTTGTTGTCGTAATCAAAGTTTCTGATTCGCTTTCTAAACAATTGTGATAGTCTTCAAGTGTAATATCGAATTCTTTAAGGAAATTGACCATCGTTTTGTATTTTTCTGATTCTTGATCATCTGGTAGAGGATCTTTTGTGAATGACAATCGAGGTTTTCCGTGTTTTTTCTGCTTTTGTAATAAATGCGTTCCAATTTGGCAACTGCCCAAAAATATGAAAACTTTCTTGATATTTTCGACGTTGACACCAGGAATCTAATCAGAAAGTCATCTATTATCATCAATGATATTGATAAATTGTTTACTCGTAAAATTTGAGCAAGTCGCGTACTTGTAATTGTTTGCTTTCGATATTGTAAAATTTTCCTGATGATCGCATCGATTGTAGATACATCAAGTTGACCTTTATCCGAGGACGATGATGATAGCAAACTTGAAAATCCTGAATATTGACTGACAACACTTTTTCGTGAAATGTCAGGATTAAATGAACTTGTGTGATCAACATTCGAATCCAAACGTTGATCGATTGAATTGTTTTGTTGAGATACTGAAGGTCCAACATTGATATCTTGTGATGGCGGTATAGTTATCAATGGGAAACCGTACAGAAGTTTCTTTGTATCGACATAAAATTTCATTAGTTCAACGGCTGTAAGTGCTACATCAGCTGAAATGGTGAGATAATCATCCATATTTTCTTTGGCTAGAGCAGCCATTTTCTGTATTGATTCAGCCGTTGAATCGTCGAACAACAAGTATTGTAACGGTGGTTCGATCTGTATGAACCAAAATTCATTAGTTCAGTTATGAAATAGATTAATTTACTTTCAAAATGTAACTACAAGCTTTGTGCAAAAGATGGAATAAGCCGCAAATTCGATACAAATGATCTCTTGACTTGGAGAAGATCGTACATAAAATATCCTGGTATCCTTGAAAACCTATCACCATGTTATTGTATTCGTTATGCGTATACGTTAATATGTCGTTTGCTCCAGGAGACATTTTCAGAGTTAAGAATTGATCATGGTGCATTAAATAGATGAAATACATAATATGACTAAGACTTGGATATGTAGAAGCCGTAGTATCATACTCGCTGTTCGATGGATCAAAATCCCGTTTACTTCGCTTATGAACATCTTCTGGTGATATTCGAGCAGAAAAAATAAATCTTAGAATATAGATCACATTGATTTTCAATAAAAAAAATAGTTTGATTTTATCAAACTACTTACCTCGCGAATAATCCATCTGCACCTGATTGATTATTTTCATCTTTCAGAATATTGATGATTGTACTGGGATGAGCAGCCGCAACTATCGATAACCATGGATTCTCACATTTGATGTCACCTTTTACTAATTGCCGAAAGTACGATTTCGGTCCATTCCACAGCGTATTCAATACAGATCGATGATAAACAGCTTTGTCTGCTCGATAGAGACCAAACGACGATGCAAATGTATTGAATTCATCAAATGCCCTGATAAAAAGTTTTCATAAGAAAGAAATTCTTTCAACAATATTCCTATTCAACGAAATAAATGATGAGCATAAGCAACTGATAGTTTTATTATATATTAGCAAGAGAAGAGGCCATAATGAACGATAGACTTTCTCGACTACTCAGATTTCCATAGGAAGGTTTTCAATCTTTCACAAATTATCAAAGTCAAATGACTTGTTGAGATTCTTTCAAGTTTCATTTCTGTTGTTTTTCCTTGCTAAGTACATTGATCTTTTACATACTGAACGATCGATCTTTTCTTTTCTAATTCATGTAATAAACTTTCAATTGTCACTGATCCATTTATTCGACTATCTTCAATCTTTATCTGCAGATATTCTTCAACTTCTCGTGTTGCCTTCTCAATCAAATTGATAGCGGTTGACTTGTTCGATCCTGTCAAATCAAGAAAACACAACGTTCATCCTTGTTTTCTTGTTATGCAAATACCTGGATATCCTATGATTACCCCATAAAATACTAAAGGGATGTTCCAATCTAGATCAATGTTTAAAACTGTTCTCGAACACCAATGAGCAATTCCAGCGAAAATCACAATCAACAAGTGCATTATTGGAACTTTCTTCAAATTCACAATGTTTTCTAACACCGCTCGAATTTCATAAGGAAATACATCGTTTGCGGGCGTCACTTTAGTACATTCGTACATGATTGAACGGCATTTATGATTAGACATAGTCAATCTATAATGCAAGTCATCGTATAAAGGAGAGAACGTCACACGAATTTTACTTCGTTTGAATAATTGATTTGTGTCGAAGTTAATTTCTTCGAATAATCTATGCTTTCTTATCAAGACAGATGGAGCAGATTAGTTCACTACTTATAGCAGTTTGCACAATGAAAGATCTAGAAATCAAGAACACTTCTGCTGATTCTCTTCATATTGAATACTGGGAATGACAATAAAACAATATACATATGCAAACACACGTATTGTCGTGAAAAACAAACAAACAAATGTTTTGGCGAAAAAAAAGATACAATTCGATCAACGACATTTGTACTGTTTCTTTTGTCGATTTCAAACAACTTCGATGATTGATGAATCGGATATGTTAATCGAAACTGAATCTAAATGAAAATCGACCCTTACTTGTTGATTTCGGTCAGAACAATGAAACTTACCATTAAAATAATTGACTTTTCCTTTTCGTACACGAATTGTTTTATTGATGACCTGATCTTGTATTTCATTGATCTAAATGCTCAACCAATCATGAAAAATCATTCCTGATTCGATTAGACGCAATTACTTTTTGATTCCATACTACGATATTGATCGAACCACTTTCATCTTCGATTTTAAGACAACGACGTCGAATTTCTGCCCGAGTGATTTCAGATGTTGTTGTAGATGTACCACGATCCAAGATGATTTTCCCTTCAACGTCTACCAACAAGGAAACGACAAGTTGCAACATGGTCGATTCAATCACTTACCAACATAAGCATTATGAGCTAATTGTTGAGCATCACGAATTGTTTTTTTCATTATTTTGAACAATGGATTGAAGCCATTCGATTCGTATGGTTCGATTCGAGTAGTTGCGGCCACTCGAATTTCGTAAATCGAATAATGTGTACGATAGCGTTCATCCGTTTTTTTTATCTGTCCATTTTCAATAACCACCTTCTAAAAGTAATTACGTTGTTTTTCTTTATATTTCTTTGTTTTTTGTTCTTACTCGATTCAATTCCATGAGAGGATGCGTTCGATCGATATCATCATTGAAAACAACCACCTTGATTTCACCATTTCGGTCGCAAACGATTGCATCAAACACACGACCACTTGTTCCATAATGCCGAATAGAACTTCGGAAGATAGTTTTGCCACGTATTCGAAATCTAAAATATGAACTGATAGTTAATCAATCAGTTTCATCACATCATTACCGCAAACTATCTTCATTCAAAGTATCGATTTCATCGAAGTTACTATTTTCTCGAGGAAAATATTGTTCAATCGTTTCTACAAAAAGAAATTTCTTTCTTCTGACATCACCAAATCCATCAACTCACTTTGCGTACTAACTGTTTCACCAGGAACAGATCTCATCGGTGTAGTTGATGCCGATTCAGTTTCATCATTCAATACGCGTACTGATGAATCTGATGATGATGATGGTGATGGTGATGGTGATAGTGATGATGATGATGACGATGATGATGACTGTTGACCTTCAACAGAAACAGAAATTGCTCTCATTATTTCTGATTTTTTTATTCAATTATGCGCTGAAAACCATACTTTGTTCTATCAATTTGTTGACTACCTAATAATCTCATACGAGCTCATCGATACAAGTGAAAATCTATCTCATATATTATCATTGATCGTTCCTTTTCTTTTCACAGTAAAACAAATCTGAACTAAGTCCTTGTTGATTAACACGAATTAGAATTCATGCTTGTCGATACAATAGAAGCAGAGAGTTCAACATGTGAACATTTGTATGAGCAATCCTAATTATGTTCAAACAATTTCTTGTCACAGATGAATGTCAACTCATCAATATTCAAATCGCTCATATGAGATACGCTGTAAAAATGACTCAAACAATTTTCAATCAATTCTTTTTTTCTTGCCAAGACCAATGAAAATGAAATCAAATGCAAAGCAGAAAAAAAATGCGTATACAAAAATCATAAAGCGCATACGACTTTCATCAACTTCTTGAATCAAACCGTTGAGGTCATCCAATAAATCCGATGCAGATGTGTTGTTCAAGTTTAATCTATCGTTATCAGCACTCTCAACATGAGCACCCTCAGTATTTCTTGCTCGTGGATTTTCATTTTCAGATTGATCTGAATCAGATGATAGCACTAGTGAAATCGAACAAATCTAGATTTCATTTTCAAAGCGATCAAAGATACTCACTGACACAATGACTTCTTTTGCTTTGTCGTGACATTTTCTTTAGACAACTATTTCAATCTCTTCTTTTTCAGTGAATCCCTTTGTGCAACAATGCTAAATTAGCATTCTAATCAAAGCGCGAAAAACGAAAAGATACTCGACATCGGCGACTTAATTGATCTCATTAACAAATTCTATCTCAGATCTCGCTTCATTAGTAAACAAAAATTAAAAAAAGACACCAGTTTGAGTATCTCTCAAAGAACTATTTTTCAATCGTATAAACTTAGAGAAAAGTTTGCTAACCGAAACATTCATCAACTTGATGTTTTCATCAAGAACTATAGAGAAATCTGTAACTGTTAACACAATTCATTCACATGTATTTCCATTTCTCGACCTACTTCACCAACAACTTCACAGTCACCGACATGCAATACGAGATATTATTCTTTTACTAACTGTTTTTCGAGCAGGGGTTGGATGAAGTGGAAAGTGTTTGCGTTGTTGATGAAATTCGGTATCAGAAATAAACCAATCCATCATTGTTCATATGTGCCATTGATTGTTCTGTATGCTGCCGATGAATACATATCCGTTCTTCAGAATGACGAGCACTTTTGTTTGTGAAGTTCAATTCAGGGTCTTTTTCGAAGAGATCGATAGGAAAGTAAGTGAAGACGTTCTTGTCAAAATTAGTTGTAGTAAACATGGTTCAATCAATCGTTCAAAACCTTATTCAAATCGATTGTATCATGAAACAGTTTTAGAAATCTTTGTTTTGTCGAAAGAGGTGAAAATATTCGAGAATTCTCAACAGAAAGTATTGCGCATGCGTGTATTGGATGGAAGCTATCTTTAGTTGGAACTGAGCTTCTTCTTCTTTCGTAAATTTAGATTTAATCGTCGATGTCGCCGTAGAATTCGATGTCGTACCTAATCGTTCACGGACTATTTGATCAATGATCGTTTGATCCCGTATAGATATAGAATCGAGATGGCTGTGAATCAACCATCCAGAAGCAGATTGTTTAAGAAGTTTGGATATTGGATAGTGAAGCGTTGTAGATCGATGGTCATAAGTAAGAACTACTCACCTTAAAACCAACAAGAAATCGATTTAGCGAGAAAGAAGGTTTTGATTAAACCGCTTTCAAACAGAACATTTGCTTTCCTTCTTTGTTCGACATCCTGTGGATGACTAAAGAATCCGATGAATTCTAGTAAGAACGTCCACGTCGACTTGATGAGCCTGATATCAGTTTGGTCCAGTTGCATATCGAGCAGCTCATATTCGATTTCGATCGGTGAAAAGCAGACTTCGATAGACGTAGGGAATGTCAACGCGATGAGTAGTGGATCAACATTCTTTAGACGATTTTAAATTGCAAATGAATTGAATATAAGGAGTATGCTCTTTTTTACAATTGCAGTCCAGTTCATAAGTTGTGTGACATTGATCCAGCAGGAGTTTAGATAGGATATTCACGTCGGTGCTACGATCAGTTAGGAAAACGATAAGCATTTGCATTGAATGCAATCGAAAGATGGATTTAGTGGAGGAGGATGTTCGATTAACAGGAAGAATCATTCGCAAGTTTAGTGAAAACAATCAAATTCGACCATGAATAAGATTATATGGAGTGGAGTGTTTACATTGTTGATGAAATTCCGTATCAGAAATAAATCAATCCATCGTGGTTCATATGTGCCATTGATTGTTCTTTATGCTGCCGATGAACACATGCCTATTCTTCGGAACAACGAATAAAGAAAAGCTGAGATACGTAAATACAAAATTGATTATGGTGATTATCACAAATCACAGCATTTTTCTGATGCATGTGCACCATCTGAAGAATATGCCGCTCATGTTGACCGAAAACAGCACGGAATTGAAGAAGAAGACGATGATGGCGATCAATATGAAGATGATGATGAAGAGGAAAATATAAATGAGAAATTCATGGCTCGTTTTAATCTGCTGTCAGTTGAATTTGAACGTAAAACGACAAACGAAATTGCAATTTTGAATCTTGCTGCACAAGATTCTGATTTCAGAATTTGTTGGCATCCTAATGTCATTACAGTACTTGATGACGATGAATTCGATTATGATAACGATGAGAATACTTCAAGCAATTTTTTTTTGTTAACAACTAATGGAACTAAGCTCCTCGACGAAAACAAATGTGATATCTGATGAGTGCGAGAATGTGTATCCTTTACGTTATTCGGTTTCAAAAATAATCATTAACCAACTAATGTATTTTTCTCTGACAACTATATACATAAATTTAGAAGTTTGAACAGAATTCGTCCAAAACGATTAGAAAATAAAGCCATGATGCAAATGTAAAAACGTAATGTAATCGCATGTCACAGACATTTGAAGAAATACTGGATTTTTTGTATTTGCTTTAATGAAACAAATCCGAAAGCTCTGCTGTTCAAATGACTAGCGAAATCGCGCGTGTGGTACTAATCAAGTACGAAATGTTCTTTGTTATCATGAAAATTGAATCCTCTGACGTACGAAACATTGTTTAGCGTTTCTTCCTTTTCTGTTTCCTCAAACGTTCTGATGGAAAAATGAAGTCCTAAAGATGAAATTATGAGGCGTCGTACATAAAATAATGTTGAACGACCTCAATCGTTGGAATCAAATGATGTGGTCATTTTATTCCCTCAAGATTCAAGCATTGATAGATGAGTACAGATTGAGAAACATCGTCATCTTCTGTTTTACCGGGAGAATGAATCTGAAGACATGGTCATATGATTAACAAAGCCTGTAAACTAAACTCATGTCTTAAAGATATTTGTCTGGTAATCAAAAAAAAAAAAAAAAAGAATCTTTTTGTTTATGACATGAATGTTTCGCCACTAAAAAAAGCAGGTTGTTTTTCAACCTTTCTTTGCAAATGCATGCGAAAAGACGTTGATATGAGATGTGATTGGCTTAGATTGTAATTGTGCAAGAATCGTCGGTAATCCAAAGAGCGTCAGAGTGTACGTTTTGAAGGCTTAGACTGTCTTCTCTTTCGTATTTATTCTTTGAAATTGTTGTTTTCAATTAATAAAAGAAAAAGTAAAAATATCCGTTGAATTCTTGACATCGAGGATTTGTTTTTTTCTTGTCATCATCATTTGTTCATTAGGACGAGAAAAAAAACAGCTCAATGAAATTGATTAAATAGATATGCATTATTTAAATAGCCAGATCTCATTAGAAAGTATCTCTTTCGATACATTTAAATAGGCAATGCTTTGTTTAAATAGCGAACGATTTAATTAAAAAGTATCTCTTTTGAGAAGCTACGCAAAATGATGTTTTTCTTCAGGCAAATGGTGAATATAATCACTTAGTCGAGCCTGAAATGCTCAAAGTTCAACGATTCCGACGAATTCTCAAAGATCGTGTCGTCAACGAAACAGCTCCTATTCCAAAGATTTTCGATTAAGAAATGACTAAAGCACAATTCTCACCTGAAACACTTGTCAGTGTTCCATTGATTCGCCAGATTCGTAAGAGTTTTACTTCTCAATTCACATGTTCAGTCATGTTTGCCTAGAGCCGGTTTTGAACCAAGCAAGACAGAAATTAACACCTCCGCTTCTGGAGTCGATCTCATTTGACATCCCTGAGTCATATCAAACCACTGCTCAGGGTGGAGGTTTTTTGGTTTGCGACATATCAACGCGTCGTAGGCAAAGAATGGTGATCTTTGCTAGCCAAAAACAGCTCGAATTGTTATTCAACAGTGCCACTCTATTGATGGATGGGACGTTTTCGGCCACTCCACCGTTCTTTAATCAAGTGTTCACGATCCACGGGCATAAGTACGACAGCAGTGAGATGAACTAATTGGAACCATGCAACATCCAGATTGAATTTTTCCAGATTTGCCGTGTTGCTTTTGCCTCTTAACCGATCGAAAAAAGCGACATATCAAGATTTGTTTCAAGAGTTGAAAGATGTGGCTGCACGGAAGAATCTGGTTTGGAAACCTGAACGAATCATTAAAGATTTCGAAGGTGGTCTTGTTTCTGCAATCTCTGTCGAAGTAAATCAAACCAATCGTCTTAACTAACAGCGCACGTTTTTTCATAGTTTCTTGAAACGATCCACCAAGGGTGTTTCTTTCATTACAATCAGGTTATTTACCGGCGCATTCAAACCTTCGGTTTATCTACATCTTACGCCGAAGACGAAGACACCAGGAGCTGCTGCCGGTCGCTGAAGTCGATACTTCTTTCTATCACTCACGTGCCACACAGAATACCAAGATGAAACAAGACTTGCGGCAGCTATTTCTGTATTTCTAGACATAGATTCTGCATGTACTCGTTTAGGTTTTCACAACAGATTGAACCGTCGTCTCGAACGAGCTCACGCCAACATCTGGTCGTTCATTCGTTGCGTCGTTAGTGAAGAAACTCGCTTCCAGCACGTGTTTGTTCGCTTACAAACAGGCAATCAACGACGACCAAAAGCAAATTCTTCTGATCTTATTGAAAAACGAGTGAATACTCTCAACGAATGGTACAACAATCAAGAGATAGATGCAGATGAGTTATTGGACGAACTCTCCTTTTTGATTGGAAAGAAAAAATTAATTCGATGTTCAAACAGTTTTCTCGCAACATTTGAAATTATTTGTATTTTAGTGGATTTTAATAATTGTCGTATTTCATCGTCTTCTCAATGACTTCAATAAAAAAATCTCTAACAATCTCGAATCATTTCTGACTTTTCGATATTTTTATCTTCGATATCGTTGCGCGTCGATATTAATTACTTCGACATTTTATTGTCGATCTTTTTTCTATCGACATCCGTTTTTCGATGTTTCACCTTCGACCTTTTCCTCTTCGACGTCATTTCTCCCTACGTTATTAATGCATACCACGAAAGTTACTTTAATCACTTCTTTTTCTTCTGTTTTAGTGATAAATATTCCTGAAAAACTATCGATACTTTTGCAAAAATCAAAATTTTTCTGCAAAATCTTAATTCGACTGATATACATCAACTTCGAAATGAAATCATTGCAACACGATTATTCATCTTCTTATTATATATTTCTTTAACTATTCTTATTCTATACGCGTCATTAATTAACATTATTAAAACTATTAATATTGAAAACCCTTCTTATCATGATTATTTACAATTATATTCTAAACATTCGCAAACACTAGCATGTCCTTGTCAAAGAATTTCAATTAATTATGAAAAAATAATTTCCATTGTTTATACATTACATCAAGTATGTGATAATAAATTTATAAGTGATCAATGGATTAATTATCTTGATACGTTATCCAAGGGTTTCTTGTGACAGGAACATATTCATTTCAAGCATTACGTGGATTTTGTAAATTAATCAGTCAAGCAATATCGGGAAGTATAGTTCGATTTAATTCAAGTCAAGATGTTAGTGGATCTGTAACACGTAAAGATTTACTTAAATCATCAATGATAAATAATTTTTTATTTTCTCTTAATACGATTCGAAAAACAACTCAAGCTAATGCTTTAGTCTCTGCTTTACAAACAAACTATTTATTGAAACTTTCAAATGCTCCGATTCCTGTTATATCAATTTGGTTAACATATTCGAATTGTAGTTGTTCTTTTACACCGACATGTATTCTTCCACCATTTACATATCTATCTGCTGATTTGAAAAGATTCTTCTTTATTCCAGGTTTCTATCGGGGATGTTATATAATTGAATCATTATTGCAATCTGATCTTCGATGTTTTTATGATGACATTTGTCTTACGAGAGAACCGTTCGAGGTGATTAACAGGTTTAGGTCTCATCTTTTGGTGGTAGATAGTCCTCGATGAGGTATGAAAAACCTCAAGAGGATTCGAGCCCATGGGCCTTTTATCTAGAGTTATAGATGTTTTACTGAAGTTTTTGCATAGAGCTAGGTATCTAACAACAGATCGAATATTCGTATCTAGAACTGAAACTTTGGTTACAGACAGGTCTATAGACAAGGGTAATACCCTGAAAATTTCAGCTCTAAAGAAGGCTTCCTTCCCAAGATACTAAAACTTCAAAAAATCACCCGTATTTTAGGAAAGATGCTAGAGCTCTTCTTTGTTTCAAGCTTTAATATTTTGGGAAGGAAGCCTTCTTTAGAGCTGAAATTTTCAGGGTATTACCCTTGTCTACAGACCTGTCTGTAACCAAAGTTTCAGTTCTAAATACTGATATTCGATCTGTTGGTAGATACCTAGCTCTATGCAAAAACTTCAGTAAAACATCTATAACTCTAGATAAAAGGCCCATGGGCCCGAATCCTCTTGAGGTTTTTCATACCTCATCGAGGGCTATCTACCATCAAAAGATGAGACCTAAACCTGTTAATCACCTCGAACGGTTCCCTCGTTAGTCGATGTTTTACAAAGATTTTCTTCGATTTCACTGTGTTCAACTCATTTGAAATGTTTCCAGGTGAAACCCAAAGATTCTTTAATTATGAAAGAGATGATCGTTGTCTTGGACATACGAAATCAAGAAAACAAATTGTGCACAACGTACAAACTATCGATTTTATTCGAACACAAAAAAAAAGTAATAAACAATCAAATTCAGTTTAAACTAAGAGTAGACGACGATGAAGTTGAATTACAAAGTTCATTGAACAACAAATTCAATTGTTGTCTTGCTTCGTGCGCTTTTTTGAAATATTCTTGTGCTTTTGAGTTGTCACCCATTCTTTCGTACGTTAAACCAATATGATCACATGTCTCGGCTATATCAAGATAATTCGGTGGTTGATATTTTTCTCGGATTTCAAGTGCTTTTTGGTAGTTTTCCAGAGCTTTTGAATGTTCATCCATATTTAAATACACTCCACCGATGTTGTTATAAACTTTGGCGAGATTTGGGTCTGTAGATGGTGAATTTTTACGTAGAATTTCCAGTGCCTTATACAAGTACTGAAGAGCGCTAGGATAGTCGCTTTTATGAGAATATATAGGACCAATGTTGTTGTATCTCATAGCTTGACTGAGATAAGTAGATGGCAAAGACTTAGGAAAACTTTCGAGAACTTTATCGTAATTTTCAAGAGCTTTTGACTGATTATCCATATGAGAATACACTAAACCGATGTTGTTTCGAGTGTTGGCTAAATTGAGATGAGTCAAGTGGGAGTTTTTCTCGAGAATTTCATAGGCCTTGTTATAGTTTTCGAGAGCTTTTGACTCATCACCCATACGAGAATACACTGAACCTATATTGTTGTAACTTTTTGCTAAATCTGGATGTGTCGACGGCAGAACTCTGCGTCGAATTTCGAGAGTCTTGTTGTAATTTTCGAGAGCAATTGTGTATTTTCCCATAGAAGAATATATCCAACCTATATTGTTGTAGCTCATGGCTATATCTGCATGGATTCGTGGCAATACTTTCTCTTGAATTTCAAGGGCTTTCTTCTGATTTTGAAGGGCTTTTGAATAATCACCAACACGAAAATGCACTAGAGCTAAATTGTTGTAGCTTGTGGCTAAGCTCCGATGGCTTGATGGTAAGATTTTCCGTTTGATTTCAAGTGCTTTCTTTTGACTTTCCAAAGCTCTTAAATAATCACCCATTTCAGCATACACTAAACCTATATTGCTGTAGCTTGCAGCCAAATCTCCATGGATTGATGGCAATACTTTCTCTTGAATTGCAAGTGCCTTCTTGTAATATTCCAGAGCCCTTGATTGTTGGCCAATACCAGAGTACAGCGAACCAATATTATTATAGGTTGTGGCCAAACTTGGATCAGTCAGCGACAGTACTTTCTGTTGAATCCCAAGTGCCTTGTTGTAGTTTTCAAGTGCTGTTAAATAATCACCCATATCAGAATACACTGAACCTATATTGTTATAGGTTGTGGCCAAATCTGGATGAGAGAGAGACAATACTTTCTGTTGAATTTCGAGTGCCTTGTTGTAATTTTCGAGAGCTCTTGAATAATCACCCATCCGGGAATACACTAAACCTATGTTATTGTAGGTTGTTGCGAAATTTGGATGAGCAGATTGCAAAATCTTTCGATAAATTTCAAGTGCCTTATTGTAATATATGAAAATTTTTGAATGATCACCCATGCGAGAATATATTGAACCTAGCTCCATGTAGCTTGTGGCTAAATCTGCATGGATTGGTGGCAGTACTCTCTCTTGAATATCAAGTGCCTTCTTCTGATTCTCCAGAGCTCTTGAATGATTACCCATACGAGAATAGGTTAAAGCTATGTTGCTATAGCTGCGGGCTAAATCGGTATGAGTCGGCGGTAATATTTCCTCTTGAATCTGAAGTGCTTTGTTTTGATTTTCCAGAGCTTTTGGATGATCGCCCATACGAGAATATATCGAACCTATATTCGTGTAACTTATGGCTAAATCCGGATGAACCGATGATAACACTTTCTGTCGAATTGCAAGTGCTTTTCTTTGATTTTCCAGAGCTTTTGAATCATCACCAATATAAGAATACAATAAACCCATATTACCATAGGTTCTAGCTAAATCTGCAGATCTGGATGGCAGAATTTTGAGTTGAATTTTGATAGCCTTTTTGTAGTATTCGAGAGCTTTTGTGGATTCCCCCATATCAGTATATACCGAACCAATATTGTTGTAGCTCATGGCTAAATCGGGATGTGTCGGTGGTAATACTCTCTGTCGAATTTTAATTGCTTTCTTTTGATTTTCCAGAGCTTTTAAATGATCACTCATGCTCGAATACACACCAGCGATGTTGTTGTAAGCCGATGCTAAATAAGGATGAGTCGGTGGCAAAGTTTTTCTATATATTCTCAGTGCCATTTTGTAGACTTCAAGAGCTCTAGAATAATTGCCCATATGATCATAAACACCAGCGATGTTGTTGAAAATGCTGACTGAATCTGGATGATCAGGAGACAAAGATTGTTGTTGAATCGCTACTGCTTTATTGCAGTTTTCAACAGCTTTCGAGTATTCGCCCATACGCAAGTACTCTAAGCCTATGCTGCTGTAAGTCTTGGCGGTATTGGAATGAGTGGGTGACAACGATTTGGTATAAATCTCGAGTGTTTTATAGTAGTTCTCGAGAGCTCTTGAATGCTCACCCATACTGGAATACACGGAACCTATGTTGTTATAAGTGGGGGCTAAACATAGATCATTCGACGATGCAGACCTCTGACAAATTTCCAAAGCTTTGTTGTAGTTTTCAAGAGCTCTGAATTGTTCTCCCATATGTGAATACGCTACACCTATATTATTATAACTTCTGGCCAAATCTGATTCGATCGACGACTTGAGCAAAATGTCAAGAGCCTTATTGTGGTTTTCAAGAGCTCTTGAATATTCGCCAGTATCAATGTATACTGAACCTATGTTGTTGTAAGTTGTAGCGAAGTCTGAATGAGCGGATGGTAAAGCTTTCTGCTGTATTTCAAACGCTTTATTGTAATTTTCAAGAGCAGTCGCGTATTCACCCATGCCAGAATATGCTGAGCCAATATCGTTATATGTCTTAGCTAAATCTGGATGAGGTTGGGAAAAGACTTCTGTTTGAATATTAATCGCTTTTTCATAGTTTTGAACAGCTTTGGAATATTGTGCAACCATGTGGTGGTTTCGACCGATGTTGATGAATTGAGTAGCTAAAGGGATGTGAAGAGTAGAAAATTATTAAGATTGGTTTAGGATATAAGATATCAAATGACAAAAACTAATTATAAATATTGATACTGATGAAGTCAAGAGATTCTATGAAATTTACAGAGTTAATTGTTGTTCTGTGAATGTCTGAAATGAGAGACATGCCGACTACACTGAGTTGGAATGATATATAATCGTGAAAACTAAATATTCAATTCTTCAGTTGTTGTGATTTTTCTGCTCATTTCTTTCTGAATCTTGGTGTATCTAATCTTCTTTGGTGGGTAGCGTGATCTGACCTTGTTTAAGTTTTGAAGTTCGTTCGATATAATTCCACGATCGAATAATCGCAAATGAAAGACTAAGAATACCGAAAATAACCACGACGATGAAAATCCATTGACGAATTCGATTTCTCCAAATGAACGAATGCGGCTTGCATTTCTTTTCATTTTCTGGCAATGCTGATGAGTTTGAGATTTTCGTTTCAGTTGTGACATGGAGAAAAGGTTTTGAAATAGCTTCACTGGGTATCAGTAGAATTTCTCGAATTGACATCTATTGTTGAAAGAAGAATTTAAAGAAAGCTCACCTTGGAATCGTTTGGCAGCGTCGTGACAATGAATATTCGTGAAAGTTTCGATGAGAAGATCACAACTGTGAGGATCTATGATTTCTTTTTCAAGTAAAGACTCGACTACATGAAATGCTTCTTTTATTGAAGAATTTTCTCTAGAGATTCTCGAGAAGTCATCACCAACAAGAAAATTTAATCGTTCACGATCTTTTTTTGAAAGAAGATTTTGTATTTCGATAAAAACATCTCGAAATTCAATTGATTTAACCATCAAACAAAACGAAACAGATTGAAAACGATTACAACCAAATGTGAAATGAGGTCAAAGAGCAAAACATCAAATAACGAATCTCATAGAGAAATGTTTTTCTCTCTCAATTCAATCCATAAATGGCACGAGGAGAACCAGTTCTGATTAAATAACATTTCATGAAAAACATTGATGACTTTTTCGGTGATAATTCGGTGAAATGGATCAACGAAGGTTTTTTGTTTTTCTCTTTCATTTCACATCATTTTGGATATTTGAAACTAAGAGCAAAGAGAGATTTTTTCATATCCGACATGATTAAGTTATGAAATTTTTCTTTTTCATTTCTTGAGTACGAACAATTTCACCAAATCAACAGATTTTCATCTGTTAGTTGAAAAGAATCAAATGATAACGAGCGAAAATGTAAACAAAATCTATTTTTATCCTTAAAGTTCAAATACCGAGAAAATGTCTCGAGTCGTTCTTCACCTTCACTTTGTTCGCTCTACTGAAAGGAGGGTTATGGGTCAAGCAGATATTACAGAAAAAACGAGTTGATGTTCTTCGGTCTTTCCATCCGTTTTACTTGAAAATGATCTAAATATAAATACTAGTTGAAAGCATAAAGGGTTGACCGAAAGGTAATCGGGGTCGCGGATCTCGAATCCGGTGTTAGTTTTTTAATGAACACTTTCTGGCCCGTTTTTTACGACAAAGAATCAATTTTTTAGACGATAATGTTTTAAGCGGCAATATGTAGAACAAAATGTTACAGCTGACTGACGTTCGATCACTAGATATCCATAGTCATCAGCATATTAATGAGATCACACACTTATATAAACAGCTATACTATACGAATATCATCTGATACCAGTCATTCAAAATAATGTTTCGCTTGTCAGGTGTTGTCTTCGACAGTTACAGTAGCACAAAGAGGGTGACTTTTAAAGAAGGAATAGAGGAGAATGAATGAATTAGTTTCAAAAGTGACTCTAGACTAAATGGAAGAGTGAAAATGTACATGTAACGGCTAGCCGCGAGTGGCCGACCGGAGGGAGGCCGACAAACGACTAGGCGTTATAATTTCAGAAGATTTCAGGAAGCGCAATTGGTTTAAGTAAAACATTCTGACAACTTATCAAATGATTCGATAGAAAATTAAATTGCACATCTAGCACAACCTTCCTCAAAGCCAGCACAAGTTCACAGGCGAATCGAGACAAGAAATACTTCAATATGGTGCTAACTTTTCTCATGTGTGCTATGTTGACTTATAGGGTGAGAATGTAGTGATGTGGGTGATCTTCGACCGTAGAGGAACTGATGTCGCCCCATGTCGATTAATATTTCATAGCAACGCCGTTACAGCGCCAAAACGGTATATTGCATCGTTAGTGAGCACGATATTGGCATTAATCACCGCGATATACGCAAACGATCTGTGCGTCGCAGTCACGCGCACTAGCGTCACTCACTTCGCTGTTTTTATGTGTAATAAAAGTAACTGCAGTATGCAATCGTGTCACCAGCTATTCGACGATTTGATTGGTCATAATGTCATACCATTTGTAAGCTTTCACTATCGTTTGTTTCTATTCTTCACGATATTTTGACTATTATCTTTTGCATTTCAAACTTTCACTGGAATAACATTAATGTTTCTGAATTTATTATCCAGAAAAAAAAACAGAGTTCAATACTATTATATATCATTTCGTAGAGAACCTCACGGGGTATTCAAACGTACATTTACTTTTCTCTTCGTGTCAATTTATTGTCACAAAAATATAGAAACTACCGAGTGTAACTATTCGATTCCAGATATATATATATACAATAAAGTATTAATACTAACTGAAAAGGTGGTCTATCGGAAAAATTATGATTGCGATCTGATCCCGTTTTGATAAGAGAAACGTCTCAAATTCCACTTACAAAAAGCAATACATTTTAATATAAAGAAATGAATATTTAGTAAATAAAGCATTATAAAAACCATGAACGTGCTCGTGGATTATTCTCTCAGAGTCAAAGAGTAGTCAAACTTCTATGTGATCTATCGCACTGACAACCATTTAATAGGACAAAGAGAATGAAACTTTCTTCGATGCGCAATGCATTAATATTTTACTTCTGAGACTTTCAACTCTATTTTACTTTTTGAAAGTTTGATAATATGTTATCTTATATCGTTTGAATTTGTCCAGATTTTTTGCTGGAGATACCATCAGAATACTACGTTTCTCTTCATATTACTCAAAGCATTGTTGACGAAAATGTAGTTTTTGTATTAATTAAATTGCATATGTAGCTATGTCAATCAGTAACAGATCATTTTTCAATATAAATCAATTATAGTATGCATGTGCGATGAATTGTCTATGTGCAGAACAATTACGCATTTCATTTTGGAGATTTGCCCATTGCAATTTTCTTTTTCAAAATTGCTTATTTACTTTTGAATTAGATAGTAATCATCTTACCAACGCTTACCATCGATAGCATTTTTGATTAAAAAAATCTGGTTTCTTTTTTAAAATTTTTTCTGCACTGTCATTGCTTTGTTGGGTTAACCATTTGTGTCTATCAACAAAAAATTTTTCCTGTTACTCTTTTTGAACACAATAGTTTTCGAGAATCTTTCCAGATACTGCCCAGACAGACAAGCACCAGAAAAAATCCGTAAAAGCTTCAAGATTTTAACGAAAATAAAATGTGGAGAAACGCACAAGTTCAAGAATTAATACTTGCTCAATTTCTCAAGTAACTTTAAAATGCTTTGACCTCCGCCACTTCACGAGTAATATCATGCGAAATTTCACAGACTAATGTCTTATTACGAAGAAAACTTGAACGCTTCAAATATTCATTAAAACGATGATTTTAGTATTTACAAACTGTTGAGTCGCCGTTTTAACGCTATTTCAAGAACCAGATGAAGCAAGCAACCAAGAATTATTAAAGAAATTCTTTCCTGGCGAATTACCAAAACATTCATAAAATCTTGAAACACTTGCAAAATTATACGGCAAAGATAGTCCATTCTGCGTCGGTAACCAATTAATCTGGGTAGATTTGTTCTTTCATTCGTTCGCTAAAACACTTCTCGGAATGAATAAAAAGGCCCTAGACAACGATCAATGGTTGAAACAAAACCGTGCCGAGATGAAAAAAAATCCTAAAATCACCAAATATCTCAAAACTCCACCAAAAATAAAACGTTGATTTTGAAACAAAACACATTTCTAACGAACTCTGTAAAAAAACGGATTATAGGGAACTATTTAAGATTTTATTTGTTTACCAATAAACCATCAAAAGGTTTTAGGCAATTTTAAAAAGCATACGAAAAACCAAATGGTTCCGTATACAAAAAATAGTGTTAGTTTGCGCTACTTTTTAAAATACGAAACCTTTACGAACGAAAAATAGTTCCAGATACGAAAAATGGTTTTATATTGCACCATATGTTTTTCATCCAGAACCATGATTAAGAGAAAATGGTTCTGTCTAACATCCTCGACCTCCATAACGGTCGCCCGTCAATCTGAAAGGTTGTATCATTAGATTAAGACAGTTCAAACCATATAAAAAAGCTTTACATCGTACCACCTTTGATGCTGACATTTGTCGGCAATCTTAACAACTTCCTTACAAGTAGTCTTGAAATTATCATTCATGTTACTTAATATTCCTACTGCCCAAATGACAATACCAGATAATTAGAATACGTATCCGTCGATATGGGAAAACATAAGACTTCTCCTTTAATTAGATGAACTGTAATGAAAATGCCAACAATATTTCCAAATTTACAAAACAATTTATAATGTGATATTTCTTTGCTACTTGTAAGCATGTATTGAGCTTTGCAAGAATCTGTGCATATTTCGATTGTTGAATATACTATTTCGCAAGAGATTAATGCAGATGTCTTCGCAAAAATAAGTTGACTAACACCGTGCCAAAACTCGACAATTAAAAATATTGTTTTCAATCCTGCATTACAATCAGGGGAAAATCATTTTCTATATCTGAACTTGTGTTCAATTTATTTAATAGTGACTTCAAAATGTATTTCTATGAATAGAATTTTTATAAACTTTCGTATTATTTGAAAGCAAATTAGCTTATGCATTTATAAATACATTCAAAAATTTTAACTTACGATTTTTGAAAAGCTTGAGCGTGAGTGTTGTCATGATTTTGAGATCAGACTCCTATCATATCCCTATCATAATTAGATTTTTCCGTCGAAAGTGCAAATGGCCCTCAGATGAAACTCTTCGAATTACTGATAATCTGATTTCGAAGATATCAATGTTTCACTAATCACAGTAGGTACCAAGAATAAGATATGGCGTAAAAGTAAAGATAGATGTAGGAGAATTCCGTTGAAGATAAAGTTAAAATTAAGAATAGAAGTAGAAAGTATAGAATATGCTTAGATATAGGTAGCTGAGGATAGGGTAAGGGTAGAATTGACAGATAAAAGACAAAGATAAGTAATCAAGTATAGAACCAACAGAGAGTGGAAGGTAAAGCGACTAAAATGCATTGTTCTCTGGAAGGCTAGAACCATTTTTAGAGAAATTGAAAAGAGTTTGAGATAAAACCAAATTTTGCTCGACCCCTGAAGGGTTCTGAAAATGGTACCGAAATCTGAAACATTTTATGGTTTAGTATGACGCTTTTTTACACAGAGAATACAATAGACAATACAATATACACATGATTGATATCTTTTCTCGCCCTCTTGCTTGTAATCAGATCTGCAAGCGTTTGCTTCATCGCCTAATCTCTTCATTTAATGATGTACCCGTTGTTTTTCGCATCCGAGAACGATCTTGATTTTGCTACAATGGGAGCATCCAAAAATAGATTAGAGGGATAAAGAGCCAGGTGCCTTCTCTCGTTCGATGCATATATAAACGTTCGAGCAGGAACATCAATCAAATCAGTTACCAATCAACTCATTCAACAAGCAACACTCGCTCAGTGAATATTCATGGCCGGTTTAATGCAAGTAACCTGTCTCTTAGTGCTCATTGCCATAGCACACAGTTGGACGATTCCTTCGGTTGATACAGAAGATCGAAAGCTACTTGATGCTGTCGATCCTGTTTGTACCAAAACCGTTGGCACGCCATCTGATGAAAAACTGACAACAACTGTCTGCACCAAAGAACTAGTTGCCAACGGAAAGAAACAAACTCTCAAAACAACGGAAGTCACAAATGAAAACGGCGTTGTGGTATCCCGCGGCGAATCTTATTCAATCAACACCATCAATTAAACCCTCCCAGCAGACATTATCACATATTAACGTATTTTGGTTCCACATTGTAATTGTCATTTGTTTGAAAAAAACTCAATAAAAATGGCAAAACAATGAGATCAAGAAAAAATAATAGAATGTCCTAAAGTTCATTTTCAAATTTCATATTTCTTCATGTAATGCTTTTTCGATTTCATTCGATGACAACAAGTTACCTGAAGGTGAATCATCCATCTTGCAATACAATTCATTGATTTGGTAGCTTATATGAACGCGATTCAATGGATCGTATGCGTGCTAAAGGAAAAAGGGGCGTTGATTTCAAGTTCGAAATGCTTCGACTTACTAACAGTCCATCATTTGTCTGAGTTCCATTGTGATATTCGTTTCTGTGTTCTTCTAACGAACGCTCGTTCATTTTCATCCATTCTTGGCTCCCGCCGTATCCTAAGACACTCGCTGAAAACGAGAGATATTTCCCTATGGCCATTCTCGGCTTGATTGACTCAATAAAACGAAAAGAAAAAGTAGATAGTTATGTACTTTGACAAGAATAACTATTAGTCTCTTCTCAAATAGAAAACAATACTCAACTCAAACTCGAGAAAAAATAATTTTAAATTCAAACTAAATTTGAAAAATTTGTTGTATCTTATTGACTAGTTTCTATCAAGTTACTACTGGACGTCATCAGCATCTAGAAGAGAAAAAAGAGGGTTTTTAATGGCAGGCTAGAGCTCAAAACTAGTTTTAATAAAGTATACTGGATTACACAAGATGGCCGAATGGACCTCTCAAACAATAAATAAAAGAGGAAGAGAAAGACTGCAGGGCCTCATGTCTCCATCAAGACTCCTTATCGGAGAGATTGAGGGTGGCCATTTGTGGCGTTGCCTGGCCACCTATGTTACCACCCTTATTGCTGTTGTAAATGATCTTGGTTGACTGTGGTGTGTTGAGTGACCCATCATCCTCTCCTTCGATGTTGCTGTTGGTGGTGCCTCAGGATAATGGGCCCTCAATCTCTCCCGTCGTTCTCTCCGGGGTACCGTCCTCCTTCTATCGGACAAAATGTTGTCCATCAGACTACCACTTGCTTGACTTCCTAGTGGCCGATTTGCCATAAAACTATCGCCAACAGGCACCCACATTACTCGTCGATTGTGTATTAGTGATCTCAAATAAACCAAAAAGTTTACAATCGTATATGCATCAATATAAAATTATCAAATTTTATACTACAAGATCGGCTTCTTTTTACAAGAACGCTAGACATTAACGGTTGTCGAAGAATAAATGAGCCTCTCCGTATTTTCCATATATTTCACTCATGTCTCAATGCTTAAAAAACACTTTTTTATCAAAAGATTCGTCGTTCAATTCTCTACAAAACCTATATCTTCTTATTATCTTAAATAATCTCCACCATGTTGAGACATACGATACAATCGATTCGTCCAAGAGTTGCAACTTTCAAATGCAACATCTTTTCGATTTTTTTACTGCTTTTTCTAATTCTTGGATAAGTATTCCTTTAGATGTCACTTTGTTCCAGTTGCTGACCTTCCCAAATTCATTCCAAATACTGTAAACCAACGGGTTAAGATCTGGACTGTTGGGTGGCCAATGGTCTTTATCGATAAACGTTGCACTCAAAAAAAGAAGGAGTTTTACCGAACCTAAAAGGTTTCCTATACTTCGACTGAACCATTTTAAGTTCAGAAAAACGAAAAATGTTCCGTGCTTGAACTGCCGAACTATTTTAAGCTCCGTAGCGTCGAGAAGGTTCGGCAATTGGTAGCAAAAACCATCCACAGGTTTTTAATGCGGTATGCGAAACCATTCGTAGTTCTGTAACATGTCTACAGAACCATCAGCGGTTTAGGAGTGTGATG